CATTAGTAGGCCAGCCAAGTTCCCACCCATCTTATCATTCCCTTATCCAGCCCATATTTGTTTAGATGGAAACTATGGGAGACTGTGTCAAAGGTCTTGTTAAAGCCAAGCTATACATCATCCCTTAGCTTCCCCTTGTCCACAGGGACAGTTACATTGTCAGAGAAAGCAATGAGGTTGGTCAGCATGCTTAGCCCTTGGTAAATCCATGCAGACTGTTCCCAGTTACCTTCTTGCCCTTCTCATGCCTGGAAATGACTTCTGTGAGGATTTGCTCCACAACCTTCCCAGGGACTGTGGGTGAGGTCAATAGACCTGGACCATCCTCCTTGCCACCTTCTTGCAGATGGGTGTGATATTTGCCTTTTTCCAGTGATCAGGAATCTCCACCGACTGCCGTGACCTTTTGAAGAGGACAGAGAGCAGCCTCCCAATGACTTTGGCCTGCTTCTTCACCACCCTTGGACCCATCCACTCTGGTCCATGGTGTCCTGTATGTCCAAATGGGTTAAGTGATCCCTAATTATATCTTCCTCTGCTGTGGGTACTGCTTCATGCCCATGGACTCTGATAAGAGGCTTCTGGACTTGGGAGACCTTAGGGCAAACCCTACCATAGCAAACTGAGGCAAAAAAAAGACATTGCGAACCACAGCCTTTTCCACACCACTTTTCACTTCCTTCCCCATTGATCACTGTGTGCACACTCTTCTTGGCCTTCTTTTGTTACCAGTGTCTTTACAGAAACCCTTCCTGCTGCCCTTCATCTCCCTTGCCAATTCCAGCCCCAGCTAAGCTTTGGCATTCATCACCACATTTCTAAATGCTTGTACTATTCCCAAATAACCTCTGTCCCTGCTTCCACCTTCTGTGTGCTTCACTTTTGTGATTTGGCTCAGTCTGGAGCTCCATATTCGCCCATGCTGGCCCTCTGCCATGCCTGCTCAACTTTCTGCATGTTGTAATGGACTTGGACTTCTTGGACTCCGAGGATGTTGTCCTTGATGATCAACTGGTTCTCCTGGGCTCCTTTGCCCCCCAGGGCAGTTTCACGTGGAATTCTGCCAAGCAGGTCCCTGAAACGGCCAAAAACTACTCTTGCAAAGTCCAGGGTTGTAATTCTGCTGTTCGTATTGCTCACTTCTCTTAGGACCTTGAACTCCACAGTAGAGAAAAGGCTGCTCTCAACCTTCACATCTTCAAACGGTTCTGTGCTGGTGTCCAGCAAGGGTATAGCCTCCTATTTGCCTTCATACCCTGTCTTTTCCAAAAAGCTTCTATCCACTGGCTGCAATGCTCCAGTCAGGAGAGCCATCCCACCATGTCTCTGTAATCCCAATGAAGTCAATTCTGCAACTATGCATGGACTTCTGACTCCTCCTGTTCCCCATGTTGCCTGCACTTGCCTACAGGCATTAGAGCTGAGCCCCAAACTGTGCTGCTTCTACAGCCCCCCTGTCACGCTGTTCCCCAAGTACACCAACTGTGACCCTTGTGCCCTCCCTTCTCTTCAGGTCGCGGTAACCTTGAGGTCTAGTTGCTGCCGTATGCTGATGCTTCTCAAGAAGGTGGAAAATGCCACGTAACGGAATACATTTAGCCAGCTGAGCAGCAGGATGACAATACATTTCTCTGAAACCTCTGCGGGCAACTGCATGAAGCTCGTAAGTGACACATTTACTTATAAAGAGTTATCAATGATAATGATAGGACAAGGGAAAACGGTTTTAAATTGGAAGAAAAAAGATTCAGATTAGATCTCAGGAAGAAATTTTTTACTATGAGGGTGGTGAGACACTGGAACAGGTTGCCCAGGGAAGTTGTGGCTGCCCCATCCCTGGAGGGGTTCAAGGCCAGGCTGGATGGGGCTTGGAGCAACCTGCTCTGGTGGGAGGTGTCCCTGCCCAGGGCAGGGGGGTTGGAACTCGATGATCTTTGAGGTCCCTTCCAACCCTAACCATTCTATGATTCTATGATCAAGTGCTTATATTTATTTATGGATATCCTTAAAGATATCCTTATAGATACGGATATCCTTATAGATATGTAACTGTGGGAAAACCAGCAATTGCCTACAAAGTCACAACCACCTTTACCACTTTAAGCATATTTGGAAGAGCTTCCATGTCAGCCAGGATGAGCAGGATTAGGTTCTGCCTTACATTTTCTCTCCAGCTACTGTCCTAGATGACTTCCTAGTCCTTCTTTGTAGCCATTGCTCCTTTTGCTGTGGTTAAGGGAAGACAACTAGGGGACTAAAGGACAGAGGGAGAAAGAGGGTTTGGGCTTCAGGAAAGACCCTTTTGCTAACAAAGAGAATGAAGAGTGGAGGATGGCTATAGGAGCTCATATTCTGTAGAGTTAAACTGGACAGGATACTCTGTCACAGGAGCAGTGTCCTGGGAACACTGGTCTTCATTGGCAATACAGGCCATTCTGCTGTTTCTTCTGGTGCTTTGACATACTCATAGTTCCATTCATGCTGCACTCATATCAATATGTCTATTTCTGTTTAAAATCCCTACGCTGGTACAGCTTTAACATAGTGTCCCAGCCAGCCTTACATACAGAGCTTATTCTTCCTCTGTAGAGAAATAACTTCTCAGAAAATAAAAAGTTCTGCTAGGAATACATTCATGTTACGAGGTAAAACGTCAGAGTGCCATTCTGGTTTTAAGGAAAGTCATTTCCCCAGCACAGATTTAAAACACACAGAAACAAAAGCCTTTATCTCTGGAAGCTAAAAGCAATGGAATTGTTTCTGGTAGAGGAAAACATCTCATGCCAGAGGCAACAGCCTGAGAAAGGCGAGGCTGCTGCAGTTCCCTGTCCCCAGGTCCAACTAGCAGCGAGGCTGAAAATGTATTCCCAGCAGGCACATGCACACAGGGGATGTGCACACACCACACACAGACGTACGTACGCTGCCAGTCACACAAATCACAGACACTCGGAGCACTCACATGAAGGTAGACAGCACCAACGGCCTCCAGTCGGGAGTATATCTATCTCATACAGTCCACTAGTGGGACAATATATATACATAATAGAAACATCGAATAGTTTGGGTTGGAAGGGACTTTTAAAGGTGATCTAGTCCATCTCCCCTCCAGGAAGCAGGGACACCTACAACTAGATCAGATTGCTCAGAGCCCCAACCAACTTCTCCTTGAATGTTTCCACCTCTCTGGGCAACGTGTGCCAGTGTTTTTCCACGAATGTTTCCACCTCTCTGGGCAACGTGTGCAGCGTATTTCCACAGTTTTCCTCAGTATAAATAATTTCTCCCTTATATCTAGTCAAAGTCTGAATTTCACTGAATTTCACTGAATTTTTAGAGTTGGAAGGGACCATAGAGATCATCTAGTCCAACTCCCCTGCTGAAGCAGGATTGCCTAGAGCTTGTCAGAGCACATCACTCAGGAGCATCCAGGCGGGTCTTGAAAATCTCCAGAGAAGGGGACTCCACACCCTCCCTGGGCAGCCTCTTCCAGGGCTCTGCCACCCTCACTGTGAAGAAGTTTTTCCTCATATTCAAGTGGAACCCTTTATGTTCCAACTTGTGCCCATTGCCCCTTGTCCTCTCACTGGGAACCACTGAAAAGAGTCTGGCTCCCTCCTCCCTCAGCCCGCCCTTGAGATACTTGTAGGCATCTGTAGGGTCTACCCTCTTTTAGTTTAAAACCATTTAAAACCATTACCCCTTGTCCTTGCATCTGTAAGGTCTACCCTCTTTTAGTTTAAAACCATTTAAAACCATTACCCCTTGTCCTATTGCTACAGGCCCTGCTAAAAAGTTTGTCCCCATCATTCTTATAAACCCCTTTTAAGTACTGAAAGGCTGTATTAAGGTCTTCCTGGAGCTTTCTCTTCTCAAGGCTGAATAACTCCAACTGTCTCAGATTGCCCTCATAGGGGTGTGTTCCCTCCCTCTGATCATTTTTATGGCCCTCCTCCATACCTACTCCAACAGGTCCATGTCTTCCCTGTGCTGAGGGCTCCAGAGCTGGACACACTACTCCAGGTAGGGTCAACATGGGCCCACTTCTCAAGTGTGTCCAGGTGCCTCTGGGTGGCATCCCATCCCTCAGGCACGTCAACCGCGCCGCTCAGCTTGGTGTCATCTGCAAATTTGCTGCACATACGTAAATATACACAAGGTGGATCTCCCCAGCAACGGGGTTCAGACAGTCTGCTCAGTTGCCACCCCTGCATTCCAGTCTCCCCAGTTGCTGGCACCCTGGTGGACATACAAGCCCCCAGGGCACAGCCTTGCTCCAGTAGAGACCATCACACACATACTCCCCTAAATCACTCTGTGGAAGGGACCTGTGCAGGGTCATGGTTACGATTTACAGTGAAACCAGTGTCAGCCCCAGCCCAGTCCCCATGCTGGGGACAAACCCAGTCTGAATTGATTTCAGTTATTGGGTGGCTGGGGGGGCAGGCTTTTCAGGTGAGAGGAGAGCTCCCACCTCCCACCAGATGAGCTTTTATCACATAACCTAACAGTCTCCACACAACAAAACCCTCAAAATTATTTTCAAATCCTCAGGCAAATGTATACCCAGCCATTAACTGATTAAGCAGGCAGCACAGAACCAGGGGAAGGTTGTGCAAGAAATGGGGGAGCGATGAGAAAGGTCCCAGCACGTTCTGCAAAATGCTGTTTGGAACAGCCTGGGGAAACCAGAGCCAGTAGAATGGTTGGTTGCATGGGAGTGAGCCAAAGCTGAGACATGAAAGAGGGTTCTCAAGAAGTAGAATGGCACCAAAGATGAGAGAAACTGAACTAGCCACATGCTGGAAAAGAGGGGAAACGGTTTGGCACCATCATTCCCAGGGTGCTTCCACATACTCTAGCCATCCCCAGAGGGACAGATCTGCTAATGCAGACAGAGCAGGCTGCACAGGCTATGTAGAGCAGGAATAGCCTCTTCTTCACACACAGCAAAGCAGGGTTCACACAGCCCCACAGGACTGAGCATAATAACGTACCGCACGTTCGGACTGCAGATACGTCAGGCAGGGCAAAATCCTTTATCAAGATCCATCTGCCTCCAGTTAAGCTGCAGAAGTTGCATTTCAGTATGTGCGCATCTCACTCAGTTCCCTCGCCTTCGTTCACCTTCATCTGATTTATTCAACTTCATTCACACTGTCAAACCCCACGTTGACAAGCACCAAGGTGCGTGTGCCCAAAAGGTCTGGCCAGCCCCCGTGCTTGTGCGCAACGCCAGGGAAGATGGACACCAACTATCACACCCTTACGGCCTCTCTTGAGTTATTCTTCACTGGCAGTGGTGAACTGCCTTGGATGGATCTTTTGTGCCCACTAGTGGGTATGGAAATGGGTATGAAAATATCCAGCACCTACTACGGTGGCATCCGTGTGCTTCACAGTCTGGCTACTTCTGCCTCCACACACTTCAGGCAACAAGTTTGCCCATTTTCTCTGTTTCTTCATTTTGAGTGTCCGAGGCTGTGGTCTGCTTCCTGTTGGACTAACAGGGAAAGACATGGAATTTGTGATGTGCTGTATCTTCCTGCCATGTCAGGCTGTCAGACGGTAGGGTCTTCCGCAGACAAGTTGTCTATGATACAGAGTCCAGGTCTTCCTGGTTTGAGAGAAACAACGTACTAAAACTACAATTTTACTGCCTTAAACTGTGTGTTTGCTCACCAACACAGGCCATCCTTTTAACCTTTGTTCTGCTGTGCTTACACACAGCCATTTCCATTCATACTTCGCTCGTACCAATCGATATTTCAGTTTCGATCTCGAAAGTTGCTTCAGCTTACCAGGGAGTTGGGTGAATGCCAGGGCCAAGGAAAACAAGGAGACATTACAGGCGGAACTAGAAAACAGAAAGAGAGAAAGATGTACAGGGATTACTTTTTTAGCAGCAGCAAGAGGTTACATCAACCCAGCCACTTTTTCAGTGGTTTCTAACTTTAAGCAAATGGCTTGATATATAGGGCTGGAATCACTCCCTGCCCTGTGAAAAGAATACTGATTTGGGACTCCTTGATCCAGTGACCCTTCTGCCTCACCACGTTGTGTTGTTTCACATAAACGGGTTGGGTTGGAAGCTGGTAAGGAAGTCAAGTATTTGGGGCACTCATATTTGCAAAATATTATATCAACAAACAGAACAAATCCAGTAGTGTTTGTGTTTGCTTTCAGTCAGGACTGATCCAAACCCCTTACGCGTACTTTTGCTTTCAGTCAGGACTGATCCAAACCCCTTCTTAAGCGTACTTATGCTGAGGATACAACATGCATGCCAAGACTGTATTTGCAGCTTTTTTGTGCTTACAGTGCTTCACTTTACTTTCCTGCTCCATACTGTTCCAACAAGCTATCCAGTACAGCTCCTCTGCCCACATAGTTCAGATTTCTGAGCAGATTAATGCACAAATGCATGTTTTCACTAGAGATGCCTGAAAAACAGAAGACAAATAAATACAAGCAAATGACTGAAAGGTTTGCCCAACTCTCCATTATTATTTACTGTTTCGAGTTGGCAATATATTGCTGACTCACTGAATGACTTTGGATCATTCTCTACCTTATCTGTCAGTCTTGAAACTACATCGAGTGTGGATCCGAGTTTTACCATCCTCAACAACCAGATGACAACCTGAGAATAGACGTATCCACACCTAGAACATAAACCAGCCCTGAACTATCCATTTACTTTTCTAAAATTAGAACTGACGCAGAAAACTCCTCCTTCTACCTCTCCTTTCTATTGCTTTTTAGAAGCTACATCATTTGTTCGAGTATCATAGCAGGAGGGAAATACGCCCAACGAAAAGATCCTTCCATAACCTTCCCTTCCACAAAGAAAGAGCAAAACCACAGGCTTTGTGTGGTTTTGTATCCCCTCTTTATCCCCTTGGTCCCATTCTTCATGGTGGTTCTCTTTCTATGACCTGACCAGAGATTGTGACTGCGACTGTGCAGTTTCACATACCTTTCAAATCAGGCCTTAGCGTCAGCCAACACAGGCTGGCATTCACTTTTTTTTTTTGAGGTTAACTTCCTGATCCAGAGGGAGGGGTTGGTATTTGCTGTTTCTCACGCTTGCATTGCTGAAGAGTTTGAGTACGAAGGGCTCATCTCAAATGGATGTAGTCCTCAGCCCTCTCCCCACCTTTCCAATTCAGTATTTGCCACCTTTCTCCCCAATCCCACAGACCCTCCCAAGCTCTGCTTCAGCGTTAACAGGAACAGTCCTGAGTGACATGCTCTGACAAGCTCTAGGCAATCCTGCTTCAGCAGGGCAGTTGGACTAGATGATCTCTGTGGTCCTTTCCAACTCTAAAAATTCAGTGAAATTCAGTGAACCAGGGTCGCTTGTGGTTCCATAAGGGGGTATGGAACCAGACTTGATCCGTAGCTGACTGCCAACGGGGAATAAAGAGTAGTAATAGCATTGCTACCTAAATACTGGAATTATTTGTGTACGCTCAGTTTTCCTCCTACATAACAGGCTTAACGCTCCGTACCATGTTTGTGTTAGCGTTATGTATGGGGAGAGAGAGCAGAAGTTGGCAGGGAGGTGAGGAACTCCTTCAGTGGATGCTGGTGCTGTGCTCTACACACACCTTCTGGGAGGGACTAGCAGGGATCCACACTTGATATGTAGGTACCAGTAACAATACTAGATATGGAATTTCATCCCGGCAGCAGCTCATGGCCAGATCTGAACATCAGAAAAAGCAAAGAACCTGGCATTTGGGGAAAAAAAAAAAAAAAGAAGAAGAAAAAAGAACTCCCCCCTCTTTCAACCACATCTTGCATTATGGCAGCGGAGCTGGTGAGAGATCAAGAATAAGTCCTGTGAAGAGCAGCTGAGAGGTCAAGAACAAGTCCTGTGAGGAGCAGCTGAGAGACATGTTCAGCCTGGAGAAGAGGAGGCTGAGGGGAGACCTTCTGGCTCTCTCCAACTCCCTGAAAGGAGGGTGTAGAGAGGTGGGGGTCGGTCTCTTCTCCCAAGGAACAGGCGATGGGACAAGAGGAAACAGCCTCAAGTTGCACCAGGGGAGGTTTAGGATGGATATCAGGAAAAAAGCTCTTCACTGCAAGGGCGATCAGGCCCTGGAAGGGGCTGCCTGGGGAGGCTGCGGGATCACAGCCCTGCAGGTCTGCAGCAGACGGGGGGGACATGCTTGGGCCGCGCCAGCCCCATGGTCCCACTTGATCACAGAATCACAGAATCTTCTAGGTTGGAAGGGACCTTAAAGATCATCTTGTCCAACTGTCAACCTAACTGACAAAAATAGACACCCACACAACAAACAAGGAGCATCA